AGGCTCAAGCGATCCTCCTGCCTCAGCCTCCAGAGGAGCTGGGACTACAGGAATGTGCCATCACCCCCAGCTATTTTGTTTTTTCTTATTATTTTTTGTAGAGATGAGGTCTTGCTATGTTGCCCATGCTGATCTCGAGTCCCTTGCCCCATGTGATCTTCCCACCTCAGCCTCCCAAAGCACTGGGATTACAGGCATGAGCCTGGTTTTGACATGTGAGCACTCATCAGCCATCACTAGGTATACAGAGCCTTTATATGGCTCACAACACCTCTTACCAAAAACAAAAGACAGATTTGCATAAAATTTTGTTTATATAAGGAAGAAATGTGTTTCAAGGGATTGAACTTGTTTATGGCATAATCCAGAATTTCTTATGAAAGGCCAGTTTATATCAAATAAGCAAATACAAGTCACATTTGCAAATCCAAATACAAAAGAGTAGCTTTAATCAAACATAAAGAACATTTAGCTTTAAAAGGAAAAACACACCATTTTTTTTTAAGCATTAAAAAGCCCAACTGAACTTTACAGAGATAACATTTTGGACAAGACTAGTCCACAGACAGCCTCCGGATCAGGCCTCTGATAACGCAGATGTGGAAACCAGGATGCAATGCCTGGTATATGATATGTGTTCAAAATACAACCGATCAATGAGTAAATGGAAGCTTAAAATAATGACTCCCAAAGTTCACATGGCTAATAGGAAGAGTTTCACTAAATCTTAAAAAGACAGAACTCAACCAACAGTTGTTTTTTATTTTTCAGCACAAAATACCAATTATCCAAAATGAATTCAACAGTCCTTCTACTCATGGATCTCCCAGTCTACTGGGTCAAACATCCACAGGGCAAACATAATTGCCTTAAACAATAAATATTTATTTCTCAACAATTCTAGAAGCTGGAAATCCTGGATCAAGGTGCCAACAGATTCAGCGTCTGGTGAGGACTTCTTTCTGGTTCACAGACTGCTACCTTCTCACTGTGTCCTCACATGGCAGAAGTGGCAAGGAAATTCTTCTAGGCTTCTTTTATAGGGGCACTAACCCCATTCATGAGGGCTCCCCTCTCAGGACCCGATCACTCACTAAAGGTCCCACCTCCTAATACCATCACACTGGGGGTTAAGATTTCAATATATGAATTGGGAGGAGACACCAATATTCAATCCATAAAGTAATTTTCTCAGCTTCAAAAGTCCTATACCTCCTATGATTCTAAATCTCTCCTAAGAAATTTTATTGCCTTATTTCTAAATCCAGATGGGGTGCAGGAGTGGGCCTACAGTGTTCCAAAGTCTTCCAAGCCTAAATTGAACCAAAGTAAACACACTTGAGCTAAAACTGCTGACTCTTCACCGTCATTTTATTTTCCCTATGATTTCCATTTTAGTAAACTTAAATTATCTCCTTCACTCTTTAATGTCTTGAAATGTGATTTTTTTTTTCATCAGAGCACCTCATATGACACCCAAATACTGGGACTGTCTTTTAGAATGTTCTAAGGAGACCTCTGATGAAAAACAAACAGGAGCTGGAAAGGGAGGAGATGGGTGAGGGGAAGGAGATGGAAATGAAGGAAGACTCTTAAAAGGAGACAGAATTACTAGACAATTACAGGAAAATTAGTAATGGTTAAATTGTATCTGCCTGTTCCTCATACTACATTCTACTTAGTTCATATTCTTATATTCCTGAGTCCTAGGAAAACTTAATGTGAATTTTCTCTCTTCCAAGCCAGTAATTTCATAATGAGGAGAGAGTTGGAACATATAGAAAAGAGGAGTCATATCAGAAAAAAACTGCAGTGATTTCACTTCCAACTGGTTCTTAATTTTGTCTCAACACTTACTTTGAAGTCTTTTCTTTTCCCTGGATGGTTTTGGAACTTAGCAACGCTTACCTATTGCTTTCCTTATGCCTATTTTCTACATTCTACTCTTATTTCTATATTCTTTCCATTTAAGATCTAAAGAAACTTAAAAATGTACTGTCTTCTAAATGTTGAATTTATCACACAAGTTTGGAAACATGGACAGCCTAAATCAGATGAAAATTTATAGAGATTTCACAACAAGTTCAGTATTTGTCTTAGAGGCAAACTATTGTCACTCCACAATTGTCATTGCTAGGTACTCAAATAGACAAACTCCTCAGAACTTGACATTACAGAGACCCCTGACCTATGCTCGGAAATTTTCTCCCATAAAGGTTGACTGTGTGATCCTAATTCCACCCCAGATGTGACGGTTAATTTTGTGTATCAACTTGACTGGACTAAGGGATGCCCAGATAGCTAGTAAAACATGATTTCTGGGTGTGTCCATGAGGCTGCCTCTAGAAGAGATTAGCATTTGAATTAGTAGACTGAGTAAAGAAGATGCAGCCTCACCAACATGGGCTGGCATAATCCAATCCTTTGGAGTTCCTGAATAGAATTAAAAAGGCAGAGAAACTACTATGGTTTAAATATGGTTTGTCTGTTCCCACCAAAACTCACGTTGAAATTTGACCCCTGATGTGGTGGTGTTGGGAGGTAGGGCCTAGAGGGAAGTATTTGGGTCATGGGGGTGGATCCCTCATGAATGGCCTGGTACCATTCTCCCAGTACTGAGTGAGTGCTCTCTCTCCCTCTCACTCTTGCTCTCCTGCTCTTGCTCTCGCCCTCTCTTGAATGGAAAGAATGAGTTGTCATAAAGCCGGGACAACCCTTAGGTTTTGCCTTTGCATATGTCTGCTTCCCCTCTGACCTTCCACCATGTTGTGATGCAGCAGGAAAGCCCTTCACCAGAAGCCCAGTGGCTGCTGGCACCACGCTCCTTTAACTTCCCAGCCTGCAAAACCATGAGATAAATAAACCTCTTTTCTTTATAGATTACCCAGCCTCAGGTATTCCATTATAGCAACATTAAATGGACTAAGACAGAAACTGAAAGGAACTGCACGTTCAGAATGTGAAAGTTTATAAAGACTGATATCCTGAATGGGTGAGGCAGTGTCAATCAACAAAGAAAGCAAATGAGTGCAAAGTTTCTGAAAGGCAATACATATTCCAATTTAAAATGTGTTTACCCTCAAACTCAGCAATTTCTACTACTCACAATTTATCCTATGAAGATAACTGGAACAAAATGAAAAAATTAATACAAAGGACTTCCACTGCAATTTAACTTATAATCACTTTTAAACTATCAATAAACTAAATGATTAATAGAGAACTGGTAACATATACTATGATAAAAACATACAACGGAATATGACACAGTCATTAAAAAGTGATGTAGAGCAGCAATTCTCAAACTGTTTGTTTTTAGGATTCCTTTACAATCTCAACACTTCTTGAGGACTCCAAACAACTTTGATCTATGGTACGCATCATGGAGTTATACCACTCAGATCTTCCTTCGAAGGCTCCTGCTGTGGGCAGCACACTTGACTGACATCCTCTAGTTGGTGGCACCTCCTGATCCGCTGCAGGGAGCTACAAGGCCATCACTCCCCTGTGCTGCTTCCAGCCAATGAACCGACAGGATGACAAACCTGAACTAGCCCATTTCTGAGACAATCAGCAAAAAGTACCAAAGTTGGTTCTCTCAAAGTGTGAATAACATGAATAAACCTTTGGCAAGATTTAAGAGGAGAATAAGATAGATATCAGGAATGAAATAGCAAATCTACCTACAAATCAGTCAGAAGGTTTTGTTTTTGTTTTTTTTTTTTTTGAGACAAGAGTCTCACTTTGTTGCCCAGGCTAGAGTGACTGCCAAGGCGTCAGCCTAACTTACAGCAACCTCAAACTCCTGGGCTCAAGCGATCCTGCTGCCTCAGCCTCCCAAGTAGCTGGGACTACAGGCATGCGCCACCATGCCTGGCTAATTTTTTCTATATATATTAGTTGGCCAATTAATTTCTTTCTGTTTATAGTAGAGACGGGGTCTCGCTCTTGCTCAGGCTGGTTTTGAACTCCTGACCTCCAGCAATCTGCCCGCCCCGGCCTCCCAGAGAGCTAGGATTACAGGCGTGAGCGACCGCGCCCCGCCCAGTCAGAAGTTTTATAAAATCATAAGTGAATAGTATGAACCTTGGGCAAAAACGGGCAGTTTCCAAAAAAGTGTCTTAACTTAATCTGACTCCAGAAGAAATAGTAAACTGAAGAGCCCATAGCTACTAAAGACGTTCAAAGAGTAGTTTAAATTACAACTACATAACAGTTGTTGGCCCTCACAGTAACCCAATCACTTTCCCTCTGGACAGGGAATGCCACTAGTGTCCTCTTAACCCTCCAACGGGGTTGGAGAAATTCCAAACATCTCCACCCTGCTAAGTTTTGAACTTCAGAGACACAATCAAAATGACTCAGAGAAGGTGAAATTGCTCAGGGAGGGGTCAACCCTTAAGATCAATTTATGCACTTAGGGCACTGACTTAAGGAATGTCTTGAACAATGCAACGTCGCCATTCCTCCTCAACAGGAAGTCGAGGGAAACGCGATCGGTTTTCAAACAGTTTTGAAACAGTAGACTACACTCGCCGGTGAACACAACGCAGCTTCAAAGAGATACAAAATATGAGCCTTTTTACAGAACTTGGGGCCCACTGAAGTCTGAGAGCTCAAAAATAAAAAAAAATCAGAACAAAAAGAAAAAAAAAGAGATTAAATGTTTGCAAAAGGTACAAAAAAAAAAAAAAGGTAAAGAAGCTGGGATGGATCCAGAACAAAAGTGTTGTGGGACAGGATTTTAAAAGTTAACAGTGCCCGTGGACCAGAGTGTTCACCGCGCTAATTTTATCTGGAAAAATACCAGTAGCCTTTCGGATACTGACCCGCTAGTGTTACCGGGTAACTGGCAGCGCCCCATCCCCGAGTTCCCGAACCCACCAGGCCGGGCCCGGTTCCGCCTTCCTCGGCTGAGCCCGGCCGCGCCCTCCTCGGTCCTGCCAGCGTCCCCAGAGCGCCCGCACCCCCGCGCTCCGCGGCGCCCGGCCGCCACCCACCTCCTCGGCGTCCTGGCCCAGCGGGATGCCCAGGTTGCGGAGCCCCTCCTGCAGCTCGCCCACGTCCACCACGCCGTCCCCGTTGCAGTCCAGCGCCTGGAAGAGGGTCTCGTAGCGCGTCGGCGGCTCCGCGTCCTGGCAGGCCGCCGCGGGCAGCACGAAGCCCCGCAGCCAGCGCAGCATGGTGCCGGGGCGCGGGCCGGCGCGGCCGAGGGCTCGCAGGGAGGCCGAGGGCTGCGGGGCGCGACCCGGACCCGCGCGGCCTGGCTGGGAGGGGCGAGCGGGCCGCCGTCGGGGGCGAGGCCGCGCGGCGCGCAGGGTGTGGCCGCCGCTGGGGAGGAGTTCGCCCCGCTGGCCTCGGCGGGAGGAAGTGGGAGAGCGGCCGGGCGGGTCTCGGGAGGGCGAGCGCGGAGCCCGGCGAAGGAGCCCCGCGGGCGCCCGAGTCCGGCGGCCAGGGCTGCGACTGCGGGGAGGAGGCCCGCACGGGGCGCTGGGCTTCGGCGTCCGCGCATCCGTGGCTCGGCGCGGGCGAGGGGGAGGCGGGTGCTCGACGCAGAGCTCCTCCCGCTTGGAGCCTAGGAGAGCGACCCAACGCGGTGCTCTCCGCGTAGAAACTGGGCCCGCAGGCTTGTCGCACGCGGATCTCTAACTTTTTCGTGTAACTCCACAGACACTACCCATCCCTGGGCCAGTTTTCCATTCACAGAAAATGAGAGTTGGGTGGTTGATCACCTGGGATGGGAATTCTGCTTTAAGAAGTGGAGGAGTTAAATCCGAAAGCACCTGTTGGTGCAATGATAATAATAATAATAAAAAAGGAGAAGCCCAATAGTTTTTTTGCAGAAAAGATCAACATCCGGCCAGCGGGACACGCATAGTAAAAAACGGGGACTACTTGAGTAAGGAGCTTAGTTAGCATGATCTGCCCGTGATAAAAGGGTGATGAAGTCTGCCAGCAGTACTTATCAGAAAAACCTCGGGCCCTCGCGCTCAAGGTGCAGTTCTGAAGTTTGGGATTTATTACTCAGGTGAGACAGAACTTCTTACTGCATAACATAGGATAAAGGAAAGGAACATTGCACTTGCAGAGAAAACACAGAGTGCTAACCCTTCAGCTGTGCAAACTTGGGGATGTAGCGTAGCCTCTCATCAATAAAATGCGAGTATGAATATCTGCCTCAGGAAAAGATTGCACACTGTATGTTAACGGTCTTAATTCTCTAAAGCCCCCATAACAGAGGTGTCAGTAATAGTAATAATTCTCTGTTCATTCACAGCTACTTTATAGGAATGATTGTACTCTTGTTATCTGCAGGAGAGAAGACGCCTCTGCTTGCAGATTAGGATCTCCCCACATCTTCTGAATCACTGAACAAAAACCGGTTGTTCCAACAAAAGCCAGGAAGTCAGACCCTGAATTTACCTCCTTTCATACCATTTTGTACGCTTAAGACATATGAATCTAGAGTTTGTAAGTTAAAGACTGCCTGTTTAGTAAAATCATCTTGAAACTAATTTATGTTATATATAACTTCCAACTTCCAGTCTGAAGAATTATCCTTTGGAACAGCTTTCGAATTTCATCAAATTTTCTCTGTCCTTTTAAACCTCCTTTAACCCCCACTGTGGATACTCTGTACTTTTGAAGGGAGGCTGCCTGAAAGTCACACCACACTTAACATGCTTTTGTTTTCCTCTAATTTTTTGCGGGGGTGAGGGGTAATAATTAGAAGAATTATCTGTCAGCATTTTTGTTGAGAAAACTTAACACAAAAACTTTTTCTTTTTTTTTTTAACACAAAAATTCTTTTTTTTTTTGAGACACAGTCTTGCTCTGTCACCTGGGCTGGAGTGTGTGGCATCATCACAGCTCACCACAACCCCAAACTCCTGGGCTCAAGTGATCCTCTTCCTCAGCCTCCTAAGTAGCTGAGACTACAGGCACGGGTCACCATGCCCAGCTAATCAGGTGAGCATGGTGACGCGTGCCTGTAGAGGTCTTGCTTTTACTCAGGCTGGTCTTGAACTCCTGGCTTCACGCATTCCTCTCACCTCAGCCTCCCAGAGTGCTAACATTACAGGCGTGAGCAACCATGGCCAGCCAATCTTCACACAAAAACTTTTACATGAGTATTTATAGAAGTTTTATTCATACTTGCCAAACCTAGAAACCTCCAAAATGTTCTTTAATAGGTGAATTGGTAAACAACCTATGTTGCATTCATATGAGATACTACTCAGCAATAAAAAGGAATGGACTACTGATACCTGCAACAATGTATTATATGACATTCTGGAAAAGGCAAAACTAGAGGGACAGAAATGAGATGATTAGTTGGCATAGCTGGAAGTTGGGGGAAGGGAGTTGACTACAAGAGTATAAGGAAGCTTTTGTGGGTGATGAAACTGTCCTATAGCTTATTAAATAATTATGGTAGTGATGGTTACACAACTGTGTTTGTCAAAAATGACAGAACTGCACACTAAAAAGGGTTAATTTTACTCTATGTAAAGTATCTCAATAAATCTGACTTTAAAATCTGCCTTAAACATGAGTAAACTGGAAGAATTCTTACCTCAAAAGATCACTGTGAAAATCAAATAAAGTAGTTTACAAAGTATTTAAACTTAAAGCCTTGCTATCAAGTGTGGGCCACAGAACAGCAGCAGCGGCGTCACTTGAGTGCTTGTCAGAAATATAGAATTTCATGTCTGCCCAAGCCTACTAAATAAGAACTGCATTTAAACCACAGCCCTGGGTGCATGTTTCCTACATTAAAGTTTGAGAAGCACTGCTAGTGTAAAGCCATACTACTCGAGGTGTGGTTTGCACTCTGATGCCAGTCTGCAAGCTGTTACCTGTCTGCTGCAAGATAAATCAGAGATTGAGAGGAAGGATTTAGAAAACTTTACAGCAATTTGATAAGGCAATTTTATGTTTGTTGAATCTAATAATAAAAACTCAGGCCTTGATTTTTTAATTTCAATTTTCTAGTAATTCATTTTTACCATATTTTACAAAAATATGTCTGCTATAGATTGAGAAACACCTTCCAGATAAAAGGCATAATTAACACTAGCAACTCCCCACATAAGAGAAGAAAACTATATACAGATATTTACACATCTGCAGGAGAGAACGCATCCCTGCCTGCTTCTATTGGTAATGCCCAAAAAACAGTAGTTCCTACAGAGGTCAGGAGTAGAACTGGAACTCACAATCCTCAACCTAATTCATTTCTGTGGTCAGAATAAAAGTCTAGGGTTCAACCCAATTCAGCTGTTTCTATTTTGCCTCTAGCCTTTCAAGTACTACCATTTTCCACCAGAACAACCTTCAGACTTCATCAACTTCATTGATTTTGGTCCTTAGGACCTCTTTCAGCACCTACTTTGAATTCCTTGAATAATCACTATAGATTCCTGCAGTTTCAGCTGGTAAACATGTTTACCCTTTTTATCCACTGAACCACTTAGTTATTGTGTTGTGCTAATAAGACCAAAGTATCAGCCTCTTCAAAGGACTGATTCTATCGCAAAATCCTGCTCACTGCTCTTTTAAATTTGAATCATCACAAAGTAGGCTATGTAAGAGAATTTGATTGGTCCAGTGTAAAAGCCATCACTATCACGGGAATACACCAACAACAATCAAATTGAGAACCAAATCAAAGACTCAATATCCTTCACAATAGCAACAAAGATAAAGTACCTAGGAATACACTTAACCAACGAGGTAAAAGACCTCTACAGGGAGAACTATGAAACACTGAGGAAGGAAATAGCAGAGGATGTAAACAGATGGAAAGCCATACCATGTTCGTGGGTCGGCAGACTCAACATCGTTAAAATGTCTATACTACCCAAAGTGATCTACAGATTCAATGCAATACCTATTAAAATCCCATCAGCATTCTTCACAGAGATGGAAAAAATAATTTTACACTTCGTTTGGAACCAGAAAAGACCCCGCATATCAAAAGCAATTCTAGGCAATAAAAACAAAATGGGAGGTATTAATATGCCAGATATCAAACTATACTACAAAGCTGTAGTAATTAAATCAATCTGGTACTGGCACAAAAATAGGAATATTGACCAGTGGAACAGATATGAGAATCCTGATATAAAACCATCCTCATATAGCCATCTAATCTTTGACAAAGCAGACAAAAACATACACTGGGGAAATGAATCCCTTGTCAATCAATGGTGCTGGGAAAACTGGATAGCCACTTGTAGAAGGCTGAAGCAGGATCCACACCTTTCACCTCTCACAACAATCAACTCATGCTGGATAACAGACTTAAACTTCAGGTATGAAACTATTAGAATTCTAGAGGAAAATGTTGGAAACACTCTCCTAGACATCAACCTAGGCAAACAATTTATGAAGAAGATCCCAAAGGCAATCACAGCAGCAACAAACATAAATAAATGGGACATGATCAAACTACAAAGCTTCCGCACAGCCAAAGAAATAGTCATGAAAGTAAACAGACAACCTACGGAATGGGAGAAAATTTTTGCATCCTACGCATCCGATAAGGGGCTGATAACTAGAATCTACTTAGAACTCACGAAAATCAGCAAGAGAAAAATCAAACAACTGTATCAAAGAGTGGGCAAAGGATATGAACAGAAACTTTTCTAAAAAAGACCCTTCACAATAGCAACAAAGATAAAGTACCTAGGAATACACTTAACCAAGAAGGTAAAAGACCTCTACAGGGAGAACTATGAAACACTGAGGAAGGAAATAGCAGAGGATGTAAACAGATGGAAAGAATAATGGCTAACAAACATATGAAAAAATGCTCAACATCTCTAATCATCAGGAAAACACAAATCAAAATTACAGTGAGATATCACTTATTTCCAGTAAGAATGGCCTTTATCAAAACGTCCCAAAACAATAGATGTTGGCATGAATGTGGAGAGACAGGAACACTCCTACACTGCTGGTGGGATTGCAAACTAGTTCAACCCTCTGTGGAAAGCAATATGGAGATACCTTAAAGCGATATAAGTGGATCTACCATTTGATCCAGTAATCCCATTACTGGGCATCTACCCAAAAGATCCAATGACACTCTACAAAAAAGACACCTGCACTCGAATGTTTACAGCAACACAATTCATAATTGCAAAGCTGTGGAAACAACCCAAGTGCTCATCAATTCATGAGTTGATTAATAAAATGTGGTATATGTATACCATGGAGTACTATTCAGCTCTAAGAAACAACGGTGATATAGCACATCTTGTATTTTCCTGGATAGAGTTGGAACCCATACTACTAAGCGAGGTATCCCAAGCATGGAAAAACAAGCACCACAGATACTCACCAGCAAACGGGTATTAACTAAGCAGCACCTAAGTGGACACATAGGAACTACATTAATTGGGTATTGGGCCAGTGGGAGGAGGGAGGGTATATACATACATGAATGAGATGTGCACTGTCTGGGGGATGGTCACGCTTGAAGCTCAGACTTGTGGGGGGAGGAGGGGCAAGGGCATTACTTCAAACCTTAAAATTTGTGCCCCCGTAATATGCTGAAATAAATAAATAAATAAAATAAAAACTAAAAAAAAAAAAGAAAGAAATGACAGTGATGTAGCACCGCTTATATTTTCCTGGATTGAGCTTGAGCCCATTATCTGAAGTGAGGTGACACAAGATCGGAAGAATGGGTTTCACATGTACTTGCCATCAAATTGGTACTGACTGATTAACACTGGTGCTCACTCACATGGTGGTAGTGTTCTTCAGGGATTAGGGGGTTGGCAGGGTAGACTCACAACTGAGGGTCACGGTGAGTATTGTAAAGGGAGGGGCATACCTCTAACCCTTGCTAGGGAGAAGCAAAGATATAAAATGTAACCAAATGTTTGTACTCTCTTAATGTCCTGAAATAAAAAAAAAATTAAAAATGATACGACTCTTACATGAGGCTTGCAGTTTTCTTTTTTTTTTTATTTCAGCATATTATGGGGGTACAAATGTTTAGGTTATGTATATTGCCCTTGCCCCCCCCCCGAGTCAGAGCTTCAAGCATGTCCATCCTATATACACAGTGCACCTCACATTCATTATGTATGTATATAGCCGTCCCAGCCTTCGCCCCTCCCATCTGCCCAACAGGGGATGTATATTCTTCCTGTATGTGCTGGAAGTGTATGTATGTATGTGTATGTATCAGAAGTGTTAATCAGTTAAAACCAATTTGCTGGTGAGTACATATGTTTTTTCCATTCTTGGGACACTTCACTTAGTAGAATGGGTTCCAGCTCTATCCAGGAAAATACAAGAGTTGCTTTATCATCATTGTTTTTTGTGGCTGAGTAGCACTCCGTGGTATACATATACCACATTTTATTAATCCACTCATGTATTGATGGGTACTTGAGTTGTTTCTACAACTTTGCAATTGTGAATTGTGCTGCTATAAACATTCGAGTGCAGGTGTCTTTTTTGTAGAGTGTCTTTTGTTTTTTTGGGTAGATGCTGAGTAATGGGATTGCTGTATCAAATGGTAGATCTACTTGTATCTCCTTGAGGTATCTCAATATTACTTTCCACAGAGGCTGTACTAGTTTGCAGTCACACCAGTAGTGTAGGAGTGTTCCTGTCTCTCTGCATCTACTCCAGCATTTACTGTTTGGGGACTTTTTGATAAAGATCATTCTCACTGGGGATAAGTGCTATCTCACTGTGGTTTTGATTTGCATTTCCCTGATGATTAGAGATGTTGAGCATTTTTTCATGTTTGTTGGCCATTAGTCTATCTTCTTTTGAAAAGTTTCTGTTCATGTATGTCCTTTGTCCACTTTTTGATAGGGTTGTTTGATTTTTTCTTGCCGACTTTTCTGAGTTCTAAATAGATTCTAGCTTTCAGCCCTTTATCAGATGTGTAACATGTGAATATTTTCTCCCATTCTGTAAGTTGTCTGTTTGCTCTCGTGATATTTTCTTTGGCTGTGCAGAACCTTTTAATTTGATCAGGTCTCATTTATTTATTTTTGTTGTTGCTGTGATTGCCCTTGAAGTCTTCTTCATAAATTCTTTGCCTAAGCCAATGTCTAGATGAGTTTTTCCAACATTTCTTCTAGAATTCTAATAGTTTCACACCTAAGGTTCAAGTCTCTTACCTAGCGTGAGTTGATTTTTATGAGAGGTGAAAGCTGTGGGTCTTGTTTCAGTCTTCTACATGTGGCTATCTAGTTTTCCCAGCACCATTTATTGAATAAGCATTCTTTTCCCCAGTGTATGTTTTTGTCTGCTTTGTCAAAGATGAGATGGCTATATGAGGATGCTTTTATACCTGGGTTTTCAGTCTGATCCATTGGTCTATGTCTCTCATCTTGTGCCAATACCATGATGTTTTAGTTACTATAGCCTTGTAGTGTAGTTTGAAGTCTGGTAAATTGATGCTTCCTGATTTGTTCTTTTTGTCTAAGATTGCTTTTGCTATTAGGGGTCTTCTCTGGTTCCATACGAAGCGAAAAATTATTTTTTCTATATTTTTGAAAAATGATGTTGGTATTTTAATAGGTATTGCATTGAATCTGTAGATCACTTTGGGTAGTATAGACATTTTAACGATGTTGAGTCTGCTGACCCACGAGCATGGTATGGATTTCCATCTGTTTACATCCTCTGCTATTTCCTTCCTCAGTGTTTCACAGTTCTCCCGGTAGAGGTCTTTTACCTCCTCAGTTAAATATATTCCTAGGCATTTTATTTTCTTTGTTGCTATTTTGAAGGGTATTGAGTCTTTGATTTGGTTCTCAGTTTGACTGTTGTTGGCATATAGGAATGCTATTGATTTCTGTACATTGATTTTGTAACCTGAGACTTTGCTGAATTTGTTTATCAATTCTAATAGTCTCATGGCAAAATCTTTGGGGTTTTCTAGGGTATAAGATCATATCGTCAGCAAAGAGAGACAGCAATCCCTTCTGGGCATCTACTCAAAAGAACAAAAGACATTCTATAAAAAAGACATCTGCACTCAAATGTTTATAGCAGCACAATTCACAATTGCAAAGATGTGGAAACAACCCAAGTGCCCATCAATACATGAATGGATTAATAAAATGTGGTATATGTATACCACGGAGTGCTACTCAGCCACAAAAAACAATGGTGATATAGCACCTCTTGTATTATCCTGCATAGAGCTGGAACCCATTCTACTAAGTGAAGTATCCCAAGAATTAAAAAATAAACACCACATGTACTCACAATCAAACTGGTTTTAACTGATCAACACCTAAGTGCACGTATAGGAATAATATTAATCAGGTGTCGGTCAGATGGGAGGGGCAAGGAGGGGATGGGGATGGGTATATACATACATAATGAGTGTGATGCGTACTGTCTGGAGGATGGACACACTTGAAGCTTTGACAGGGTGGGGTAAGGGCAATATACATAACCTAAACATTTGTACCCCGATAATATGCCGAAATAAAAAAAATTTAAAAATTAAACCCACAAAACCCCTGTCACCAACCTCCAGCAGTAGCCTCATATCTCACTATATCTTCCTATACTCTGTATGTTTAAAAATGACCAAGATACTTCCAATTTCTCCAATGTTCCATGAACGTCCCCATTTTCATGTTACTACTCAAGCTGTTTCATCACTTAGAATGCTTTTAAAAAGTCTACATGTATACAAGGTTCTCAACTCTTCCCATCTTAATTGGGATGGGCCTGAGTACAACATTTCTCAAAAATATCCTCTTCCCTTTATTCGAATTTTACATCAATCTTCTTACTACCTATTTGGTTTCCCATGTGCCCTGATACTAGGAAACAATGTACTTTGGGAGAAGGGATGAAAGTATTTCAGTTAATGGAAAGTATTAAGCTCTACCATGATTTAATGATTTTGCATTGTGATCTATATCTCTGTCTTGTTAGTTATTTTTGTTAATCTAGCACCAAAAGACTGATAATTTTTAGGAAATTAATACAGTGAAATATTTGGACCAGCAGGGGTAAGGATCAAACCCAGACTTCAGTTAGTTTAGCTAGGCAGTCCTTCATTTGAGGTCTATTTGTGGCCAACAAGTGCATTACCACTGTCTCACCACACTTTTATTTAATTCCCACAGAGAATATATTTATTTTTTCAGAAAAGTAGTATTTAGGATATCAAAGGGTTGACTCAACCATCTCTTAAATTGAAATAAGAATAGTTTCAACAAGTATGAAATAATGGATTTAATTTTAAAAATTATTTCTCTGAAATGTTTTCGACCAGAAGATAAAAGAAAATTTGTCCAATGTTGATTTGTTCTCAATGCCAACTTCCTCATACAAGCTGAAAATATCAAGATCTAAAATGAACCAACAGTGTTTATATTTACAAATAAAAGTGCCCTGAGATGTAATAAAATCTTATTATTCCATCCACAATGTGATAGAAGGAATTATGAAACCAATTTTCCTTTGTGCTTAGGAAGAGAAAAAGAGACTCCAATTACATACTATAACATCAATTTTAAATGCACTGATTTTTCTTTTGGTATATAAAACATTTTCAAGCTCAGCTTTAAAAAAAATTTTTTTAAATACAAAATGGTTAACATAAATTCCTATAACTGACCAAATGTTTTATAATGTTATTGTATGGTATATTCAAATCCAATCAAAAACAAATTTCAAGTAAGGATTCAAGGGAGAGTAGCAGGAAATATAAATAGAATTCTGTGGATATTATGAATTTTAAATTATTAAAGAATGGTACCAAAATTATTATTTAATATATATATTGTAATAGATAAAAAGAAAATATCTGAACAATTATTTGATACTTCTTTCCTTTTAGGAAAAGATAAGATCTCTTTATAACCCAGGTATTAACTTATAATTAAGTGATTATGGCAATGACAGCAATTTGATATTTCACTTCTAGGTTAATCCCATAAGGAGCTTCACTTTTTCATAAGCCACGCAGCTGATGCCTACTGCAGGAAGCAACTTTATGACATTTGGGGTGATACCCCTGAAAAATCCTCTTTTTCCTTCCTTGCTATATATTTCTTGAATGAGCCGAATCATAGAAACTGTTTTTCCTTCTTCCATCGGGGCTATAAATTGGAAAAAGTAGTATAATTCAGTATTTAATCTTTATATATTAAGATAATCCAATGATAAATGAGAATTTATAGAGATTTAAATTACTTCAGAGTAACCTCTCTCCTTACCTACAATATCTACCTATAATGCTATGCTGTTCTATATGGTAGCTTCTAGACACCTGTGGCTATTTAAATTTAAATTACTTAAAATTACATAAAACTAAAAATTCATTTCCTCAGTTGCACTAACAATGTTTCAAGTACCTGATAGTCACTTGTGAATAGTGGCTATTGTACTGGACAACACAGATATGAAATAGTTCCATTATCACAGAAAGTTCTATTGAACAATGCTTAAAATTCATTCATGAGGGACCTCAAAGGAGCATTTGGAATTGGGTTTGACACAGATATTAACAGCTTCAGAGAGGAACTGATGGGTAACGGGATGGATAGAGAGAGAGATCCTCCATCTGGATTACAATAAAAATTAAATAAAAAATGTAGGCCGGGCGCGGTGGCTCACGCCTGTAATCCTAGCACTCTGGGAGGCCGAGGCGGGCGGATTGCTCGAGGTCAGGAGTTCAAAACCAGCCTGAGCAAGAGCGAGACCCCGTCTCTACTATAAATAGAAAGAAATTAATTGGCCAACTAATATATACAGAAAAAAAAAATTAAATAAAAAATGTAATTAAAAAGAAAAGAAGAAAAGGGATAGAAAAGAATATTACTTACCACATGACCCTTAGTTTCCTACAGTAGATAACAATTGGATTATGTGGGGGGTTTTTCCTCTTGAAAAGTGATAAAAATAATTTCTTAAAATCTAAATTCCTAACACTTCACTCTGAAAGGAATAAAACAGAAACCTTCCTTTCTGCTTAATGTCTCTTCCCTAAGTGGATTGGAATACAAACAATAGAGTTCAATTCCACAAATGTATCAAGTTTCTGATGCAGAATATGACAATGATAGCAGAGCTAGAGGAAAATTACATGTTCGTATGCAGTAACTGTTGATTCAATTTGAAGAAAGCAAAACCTTTTCTATTTTTCCATATGGTACTTCCTAATTATAAACTCCCTAAAGAGATCATCAGTACCTGAAAAAAATGTAGAGAATTTCAAACAGAATTTTGGGAAGAAATAAAATCTAAAATTCACAAAAAGCTCTAGCAGATAAAATAATAAATTAAAGAATCTTGTTTGAAAAATCAGAGACTTACCTTTCAATTTATCAATTCTACAGTGTTTCTGGTTTGAATAATTAATTTATACTCATTTAAAACATACTTTTAAACTTAATTATTATTAATTCATTAAAAATAAAAAACAAAACTCACCTTTAGCCTGCATGCGAGTTCTTAGAAGGTTCAAAGGGAAGCTGGCTAACTGACCACAAGTGTGAGACAATGTACTACATCCCAGCAAAATCATTATCCCAGGATTTACAGAGTTTTTTGAATAATGTTCCAGCCAATAATTCTTCAAAAGCTGTCAGATAAGAGAATAGTAAATATCCTTTAACTACTATGCAATTCTAAGTGGACTAAAGCTTTAGTACAGAGGGGCTATCCCTGCTACCCTATCAGGGACAGAGTACACAGATGTTTTCAAATGAACATATTCATAAAACCTCAGTTCACCTATGTTTCTGCCTCTGGGTATGTTTTGTTTATCTCAATTTTTGTTTGTTTTGTTTTGCTCTGCTTGTTTTTTTGGTTTGTAATAATATTCAAAGACGTGAGCAAAAATCTGGAGATTCTCACAGGGATTAACAGAATATTGTAGAGAAGACGACTACACAATCCACTCTAGGTTAGCAAAACCACATTTTCTCAACCTTTATGACAGACTTATTTTCCCATCTTTGCTTTTCCTTGAATAAAAGTGGCTGGAAGAAATTATTTAGAAATAATGAGTTTAAAATATTATTGACTACCTTTAGACCTGTTCGTTTATTAAAGGATAGCAACTTTAGCATTACATACTGGGATTATTACTACAAAATGTGCAACCTGATACTTTTGAAAAACTAAATTTCAAAAGGTCTTTATTCAGTGTGCACTTATTACGGTCATGTAACCATAAAGACAATGTATAATGGCACTCTGGTATGAAAGCAAAAGATACTGAACTGTAGAAATCAAAGAATGGAGATAGCCCAACATAAACAGTAGAAACAAATTTACTTTAATAAGATCATAGAAGCAAGAAATCAAAAAGAAAAAGAAAAGCATGCTATAATATTCAATGCTTTAATCATCTATAAAAATATAAGTATATTTTTAAGTGATAAATGAAATTAGCTATCTTTCACATGATGAGGGTACTACCTGCCAAAAATATTAATACCACTGGGCCTGAACCTACCTATCCTTCCTGTATTTAGAATGAACTTAAGTTGTTCTAATCTAACACACTCTCACCTGGTTCTTATGACCAAGTGGTATATACTGTTATATATACCAATTGTCTTTCTGAAACAGACATATGGTCATAAAAATGAAAGGAATGGCTGAAAGTAGAGGGAACCTGGAATCCTGCCTGAGCAGCACTACACTACCAGGATTTTGTCCTATCGCCACGCTGCTCTCTTCCCAAACCCCCAATTACTCCTCCCTTCCATCCTAAGTTTTACAACTGTGCAATAGTATCTCAGTTTTCTTAATCTTACCTGTACATCAGATTTTTCTGGGCAGTTAAAAAAAAACCTGAATCCTAGGCCTCTCCATGGGATAATTAAATCAGAATATCTTGGGATATGGCCTAAGAATTCCATTTTTTTTTTCTGACATCCACATGTAGGTGATTCTGATATGCATCCAGGGTTGAAAACCACTATTTTATCAGAATTTAGGTTTATAATTATTATTACCAAAGCTAATTCACAAAAAAACAAAAAATTATTATTAGAATACCAGATGTCTAATACATAAAATGAAAACCCAAATAAAACCATTTAATTTGCTTCCCAGTCAAAAGTTATTTCATGAAAAGTCATTTATAACCATATTTTTAAAATTAAAAAAACTGTTGTGCCCTATTTTCAAATCTAACACATAATATCATAAGAATAAACTCACCTCATAAACAGCCAAATCTATGCCTGCATAAGGTATAATGCCTAGGAAGTTTGGGACATAACCTCTGAAAAAGGCTCTGACACCTTCTTGTTTGAAAAGCTTCCTGCTACAATCAATAATCCCTGAATACTCTCCAGTGTTACCTACAGCTAGTCTGGTCTTCAGTACCTAAATGTGAAAGAATATAATATATATTGGTCAGATTCATTCAACTTATATAGCAACCCAGTGAGTTGTATTATCTTACAATGCTTATAATTATAAAAATAAAAAAGAAAGCAATCATAAACATAATTGTAACTTCCCAATAATCGTTTCTTAATTAAACAAACTGATACAGCACGGAAGTTTTTTTAATTATTCAAACAGGAAAAAAATGGTGGCTCACGCCTGTAATCCTAGCACTCTAGGAGGCTGAGGAGGGTAGATCACTCAAGGTCAGGAGTTCGAAACCAGCCTGAGCAAGAGTGAGACCCCCATCTCTACTAAAAATAGAAAGAAATTAATTGACCAACTAAAACTATATAGAAAAGATTAGCCGGGCATGGTGGCACATGCCTGTAGTCCCAGCTACTCGGGAGGCTGAGGCAGGAGGATTGCTTGAGCCCAGGAGTTTAAGATTGCTGTTAGCTAAGCTGACGCCACAGCACTCTCTCTAGCCCAGAAAACAGAGTAAGACTCTGTCTCAAAAAAAAAAATAAAAATTTAAAGGTTCTCTATACTTGCTTGGAAAATTGGCTCTCTCAAAAACAGCCAAGACAAAAAAAGTATAAACTTTGTCTTGATTGGGCAAACTGTATATCTCGATGGGGCTGCCTCTAAATAGTGAATAGTAAGCCTTTTGTTTCATGGACTTCTCTACAGGACCAGATACTTCAGATGATCCCATTCTTAAAATTCTGCCCTCTCCTGGGCAGTACACTCTCCTCTTACCCAAGTAAATCTTCTATCTGGTTCACTGGCATGTTTTTCTCCTCTTACTCCCTAAATTAAGGTCTTCTCAAAAGGTTTCTTCTTGGCCGGGCGCGGTGGCTCATGCCTGTAATCCTAGCACTCTGGGAGGCCAAGGCGGGCAGATTGCTCGAGGTCAGGAGTTCGAAACCAGCCTGAGCAAGAGCGAGACCCTGTCTCTACTATAAATAGAAAGAAATTAATTGGCCAACTAATATATATAGAAAAAATTAGCCAGGCATGGTGGCACATGCCTGCAGTCCCAGCTACTTGGGAGGCTGAGGCAGCAGAATTGCTTGAGCCCAGGAGTTTGAGGTTGCTGTGAACTACGCTGACCCCACAGCACTCACTCTAGCCTGGGCAACAAAGTGAGACTATGTCTCAAAAAAAAAAAAAAAAAGTTTTCTTCTCAACATTCTTTTTAAATACTACTTTTTTCTTAGGCAATCTCATGGATTCAACTAACACCTCTCTAAAGTAACATACCAAGACTTGAAATCTCAAGTCTCTGTAACACGTCTGTAACTGCCTGCTGCAAATCATAACTTGGTCATCCCACCAATTTGAGCTGTGGCTGAAACTAAATATATGCAAATCTAAACTCAACATCTCTCAGAGTCTGGTTCACTTTCTCCATTCTCTACCTGCGCAACCCTCCTAAACATTCAGGCACAGAACCCAGAACTTCACCTTCTTCCTTTCCCTTTCCCCTGCTTTCTAATTTTCAAGTTGACAGTTCTCAAGATATCTCTAACATGAGTCAATTTCTCTAGTCACTATCATATTTCAAATCCTTATTATCAATTCCCTGAATGATAGCAATATCTTGTATCTAGTCTTCCCATCTCTCTAGTGTTTCCCACTGTAAAAAAAAAAAATCACCAAGGTCATATTTAAGGCTCCAAAGTCTTTAATGGCTTCTTATTTTTTAAGGAATAAAAATTAAATTCCTTAAGCTGTATTCAAGAGTCTTTCTAATCTGGCTCCCACCCTTCAGCTATGCTATTGCCCAGTCCAAAACTAAATACCTAGTTTTTTTAAACCTCCATTTATTTCCACCTAAAATGCCCTTCCTCATAATCCTTGCATGTCAACATTTTAAGCCAAGCCCACATATTCCATTTATGTCTGTCATGAAACCCCTAGCTTGAAATAACTTCTCCCCCTCTGAATTTCCATGACACTTTATATCAATCTCTTTTCTAGAATTTTTATTTTAGATTATTACTATTGAAGTACATATTTTATTTCCCCTTCTAGACTATAAGCTAGATGACTAAAATCCTGGACTGACTCATCTCTGAATCCTGCATAGCATCTAGAAAAATACCTTAAGCTTAGTAGGTATGCAATACAAATTTGCCTGATTAATGAATAAGTGATTCCATCAATTAATCAACAAGATTATCTTCTCAGTCCATCTACAATACTGGCTTTGTCCTAAACAATGACAACAAAATCTACTGAGGCCAACAATCCTATAGCTATAAGGCTGTTTATTTTACAAAATGCTGATCTGAGATCCATTTTTAAAAAGTTATAATTTGCACTAAAAGCATGACTTCACTTAAAATTTTATAATAATACATACCTCCATGGGGTAAATACAGGTCTGGGCAGTTACACCAGCCAATGAACCAGATATAAATCTTTCAGGAATTCCTACATGAGTACCATCAAAACTAAGCCATTTCTTATACTGTATAAATAAAAATATTAAAATGTATAATATTACTGAAACAAGATTTATATTTTTTCTAAGTTTATGACTTAGCAGTATAAACTTATGTTTAAAAGTATAACAGATACCCAATATTAGCACAACCTACTAGAATACCTGCTTTTAATTGTTATGCAATTAATCATCTAAGATAATAAGTAAATCCCCTCTATTTAGTCTCCTTTTTCCTTTTTTTTCCTTCAGAATAAGTTAGCAACATTAAATCACTTAAACATATTTATGAATATGTCATGCAAATGACACAAAGGGGACAGAAATTGTATCTTTATCTCTTTTTAGCACCACACCTTATGTGTAGAAGATACTTAATATTGTTTGATTACTGGATAATCAGGAATAGTAACTTAATGTGAGAAGCTCTTTTATCAAAAACAAAACAAAACCAGATAACAGTTTATTCTGGTTAGTTTAAGTAACAGGTAGGTTATTGCAAGAACACATGTGGAAAAAAGGAAAATGGAAATCTACTCCTAAAAATAAAGGTCAGGTTTCACAGGAACTAAAGTAAGTCACGTTTCATGGAGGTTAAAAGTAGAAACTCATTTGGGATTCAAGATAGCTCTAGCAAGCATATTCTCTTGCCATCTGTTAAGCAGGATAGTTCCTGATTGCCTTTTATTGTGGTCTATAATTTGGCTACTCTTTATGAACTAACTCTGCTACAGTTAATGTGGCAGAGACTGCTATCTGTTCCTAGTCTCCATTTTCTTCTTCCTTTTAGTAACAGGATTGACTCAGCCACAGATGACATTTCCTTTCTCTCCTTTGCAAATAGGTTGTATGGCTAAGTGACTAATTTTGGCCAATGAGATCTGAGGGAAAGCTAGGTGTAAAAATTCTGAGACATTCATTACCTTAAAAAATGATTGCCTTTCCTCCACCTGGGAAATGACAAAGACAGTTATAACCTTTGAAGCCATGTTTGAAGATGGCAGAGCTATTCTGTTAACCCTCATCTTACTTCCATCTTATTTAAGCTACCATATTTTGGAATCTCTTTGCTACATACAATAGCTTATAATGAGCTACAGAAATTGGTTCCTGAATATAGGATGATACCATAACTATTAATAAAATCTAAAATATGTGGCATTGGCTTTCTTGTTAGGACACAGACATTACAGGTTAAGAAGGTGACCTTTTAATGTTTTATGGAAATGCTTGATAGAACTGTCTCTTGTGATAATTTGGAAAGTAGCCCATATGCTTTTTGAGCCTAAAGTTCTAAGCAAACTGGCTGTAAATCTCAGAATGTTGGTCAGTATTGCCTGCTTTTTGCTATTTAGAGCAAGAGCTATGAGACATGGGCTAAAATATACATATTTTTTAATTTTGTGCTTCAGGGTCTTCTCCAAGGCCAGTATGCAGGAATTAGAAGGGAATAGAACTCTGCTAACAGAGTTTTATTTGCTTGGCTTGAGAGTCAAGAAATGTGGGGCTTCAAATTTAGTATAAGCCCCTCTTTCTGTACCCCAATATAAGGAAATAAGATTGTACTAAAGAGCTTGGTTATCTTTAAAAATAAGATGTTCACAATGGTAACATCAAAAATCACTGATTACAGACCACCATAACAGATATAATAATAATAAAGTTTGAAATACTCCAAGAACTGCCAAAATGTGGCATGGAGACAGTAAGTGAGCACATGCGGTTGGAAAATGGTGCCAACAGACTTGCTAAATGCAGGGTTGCATCAAACCTTCAATTTGTAGAAAATGCAATATCTTCAAAGCACATTAAAGTGGATCATAATAAAATGAGGTATGTCTATATTTGGAACTGAACCATTTCCTGGTGTCTGATATAGGTTCCCCCAGAAACAAATGCTTATAAAACAAGTCCCTGGATGACCTTGGCAACCCAGCTCTTCTCCCCTTTCTTGCTTATAGTTCTCAATAATAACTGTAGAATGTGCTAGAAATGCAATATCCTGAGATAAGGAGAAACAAGCCAGAACAGACTGGGCTAGGTCCCCATCCCTCCTAGAACAGGATGTCTTGCAATGCTTTACACTGGCATGCCAAGTTGCCCCCTAGTATAAAATCCAGAGATAAATGCCTTTCGGTGTCCTTCACCTGCAGTGTGATGTAGGACACACACAGCCAAGACTCCATCCACCCAGGGTAACTTTCCTGAGCTTTGGAGGACTGGAGCACCATGAATCTTAGGCTACTGTTAACTTTTACTTCCTGTCTGTAGTATTAAAGTTACTTTACTTAACTTGTGTGTTCTATCTCACCAAGACTCATGCAAGTAGTAGAGCAACCAGTGCACAGAGAACCTGCTTCAAAAGACCCTGAAACAAGGCTTTAAAGGTGATCCTAAGAAACACTGGTAGGGTAACAAGAATGTGCAAGAGGGAATAGTGGAAGCTCATAAACTATGTACCAAGCAAGTTGCCATTGTAGGCAACTGGGGCTTAATCTTGCTGAGGACTTCTGGGAATTAATGTGGAACATACACCTCAGAATTATCCCACCCATGTCCATCAGTCACTAGTAAAGGCTGTTCCCAGGGGCTTTAATTCCCTATCACTCCCATCTTGTCATTTTCAGGAACAGAACAAGTTTCAGAAGTTGAAGAAAGTCCCGAGGCAAATAGATTATAGATGCTGACAGGTAGAAGTCAGGCTATCTTTCACTGAAATGGAAAGGCCCAAGGATATATGAGTGGGTACTTACATATAAGCGGTATTTTTCTGCCTGTTAGTGATAATGAGCAGGGTAACAGTAGCAATAAAGGACAGAAAAGGACAAAGTATAATTTGGATTCCTCAGGGATGAAAGTCTGTATTACTCCACCAAACAAGACACTTGGACCAGCCAAAATAATACCAAAGGTGGTAACAAATATCATTTATAGCCTTGAGAACAGTTACAATAATATTGATTGAAATTCCTTCCTGTTGGGCAAAGGAAACAGCATGGGAGAAGGTCCTGAAACAGGAAGGAGCATAGTGCACTAGAATAAGTGAACGGAAGACAGTTTGACTTCAAGGAAGAATGAGATTGGAGAAGAGGTCAGGAGCCAGGGGCCAAATTATTTTGTACCTTGTTAGTCAAGATAAAGATTTTGGACTTTGCAATCAAGAGAAATTAAGAGACCACTGGAGGGTTATAAGGCAGAGAGACAACATAACCAGATTTATATTTTTAACAGACAACTCTGGTGGCAGTATGAAGAATGGATTACATATATGAAGATATCAGTTGGTAGTCTACTGCAGTAGTCCAGGTGGAAGACAACAGTGCCCAGAATTGCTGAGGAAGATGTAAGAAATAAAAGATTTCTAGATGTCAGCAAGATGTCCAATTGGAAGGTCTCAATGCTTGTCCCCCACAAAAACCATGACTACACAATTACCTACTGATGAAAATAGCTTTGGGAGGCTCCAGAGTACAATGAAGCAGCTGCAGCAACCCAGTAGAACCCTAAAGCCGAGGATGGACATGTAGAAAAACAGAGGAAGCATTTTACTTTTGTCACTCCACCCCCTAGTCCAGTGTATAGCTCAGGACCAAGAGGCATCCCCTAGGTCACAACTTCCTTCTTAGGGGCAAGGGAAAATGAGAGCAGGAAGACCTTAGAAGCCTTAACCTCTAAGGACCTCCATATTCTTTGCTAATGCTTATCTCAATTGATAGAGCTGCCAGGAGTACATGCCACTTTGCTTCCCCCCAGAAGGAACTGCCACCACACCCCTTCCAGGCCAGACTCATGCCCCATCTGGCACCACCACATACATATCCCAGACTCTAGCTCTGTGACCACCCCACTCAGGCCTGCACCCCATACACTGGTACCACCACTGCTCCACACACACGTGCACCCCAGATCCTGACTCCACAGACATTATGTGTGCACCACTTCATACCCAAGCACCACCGCTGTTCTGTTTGCCCTGGACAAGGACACCAGCACCACTGTGAGTGGTGAAAGACCCTAATATCAAGGGTGATCCCTTGATTATAACTTCTTCCTGTGGGAGAAAGATGAGAAGAAGCACCCAAGCAGCCTTCACCACTGAGGACCTGAGCAACTCTCACTGTTGCTGCAGACACCCACAACCTTGGCTACAAAGGATTCCTGCAGTCTGTGGTAATGCTGACCTCATCTGACAGAGCTGCCTACACTCTATGCCACTGCACCTTCCCTTCAGCCAGAACTGCCACACTCCACCTATCTAGTACCCTTGCACTAATCCATAGGTGACAGTCTTTTTTCCACTAAAGCCAGTCTGTAAAGCCTGGAAGAGGTGACTCGTCCTTCAAATGTTCAGGCACCAACACAAGGCTACAAGGAACACACAAAAAAATCAAGGAGCCATTACATCACCAAAGAAACACAATAGTTTTCCAGTAACTGACTCCAAAGAAATGGAGATCTACAAAGAACCTGACAAAGAATTCAAAGTAGGCCGGGCGCGGTGGCTTACGTCTGTAATCCTAGCTCTCTAGGAGGCTGAGGTGGGCGGATTGTTTGAGCTCAGGAGTTTGAAACCAACCTGAGCAAGAGCGAGACCCCGTCTCTACTATAAATAAAAAGAAATTAATTGGTCAACTAATATATATAGAAAAATTAGCTGGGCATGGTGGCGCATGCTTGTAGTCCCAGCTACTCAGGAGGCTGAGGCAGAAGGATTGCTTGAGCCCAGGAGATTGAGGTTGCTGTGAGCTAGGCTGACGCCACGGCACTCACTCTAGCCTGGGCAACAAAGTGAGACTCTGTCTCAAAAAAAAAGAATTCAAAGTAATTATTTTAAAGAAGCTCAACAAGCTACAAGACAACAAAGACAGATAACTCAATGAAATCAGGAATACATTACAGGAACAAAACAGGAAGTTTAAGAAAGAGATAGAAATCCTTTTTTAAAAAACCAAAATAAGTTTTGGAGCTGAAGAAGACAATGAGTGAAATAAAAATTCAAGAGAGAACCTGAACAGCAGACTTAATCA